TAGACAATTAAATATGGCTGACAAGACCCGTTTTTAAGTTGGCTGGCGCATAGATTGCAAGCTGTCACAGAAAAGGATGGACAATTGATAATTTTACAAAGCGGTGTTTGGTGTCCCAAGAGAGTATGTTTTAGTGTCTCTGCATTTTGCAATTGTTATGAATGTTCTGACAATATATCGCGACGTCTCGATACCCTCGATGGATTTTAATAAAACGATATAAGCCGAGCTCCAGCTTCGTCGCTGGATTTACTCAATTCATTATCGAAATAACTATGTAACATCTGATGTAACCTTCCATCAAGTCACGTTACAGAGTGGCTTGTGGAATTGTCGAGAAATCGAGCTATTCGACAAGATCGGCTGCTGTAACTGGCCGACCTATCTTACTGCACATTTTTCAATGGTTGAGCATCGCGTTAATTTACGAAGGTTTTTGAGAAATCCAGCGATGGCTTTTCATTTGGCGAGCCCTCGCAGTGAGGCATGGACGCGCTCTTTTATACTCCACGGGGTATGGAACTTACTGGCTATGGCTCCTTGAGCTCAGGGTAGCCACCGAGGCCAGAACCGTACGCGTCATATTCTATTAGCAGTACGTTGCTTGCGCTATGCAATTTCTGAAACTCTTTAACGACTTTCTGTGAAACAATTCAGATAAACTGCCTTAACTTTAATGTCGTACGCTCCGGCGCAGCTGATAGTCTGGCTTCCAGTTTTATCACTCGATAGTAATACGCGCTGAATCTACGTCAATTTTATGGTACTAGTGTTATTTACCGCGCTTCGCGCGCTTTTTTTTTAATGTTTTACTATTATTTATTACATTATTTGAACCTTTTACATGTCAACTTCAAGATTTCAATGGACACGAATAAGTCATGCTGTTTAAAATAGACTACATACGTCAATATTTATTGATGAATAAAAATAGAACATGCACCCATTTTTTCTCAAAAATCGATGAACTTTTACTCATTTCAAGATATATCGGAAAAATTATTCAAAAGATTAATTCGACCTAAGATCAATAATGCTATTATACTATTATACAACACTAAACTTTCATATTCAATAGTAGTGATTACGGCTCCAATCTTATATTAGTATGAGTAATACATTTAACGTCGTGTACTTGTTGCTGCCACTATGAAAACACCCGTGAATATTCTTCTAATTTAACGGGTTTAATATTTTGATAATTAATTTCCTTTGTTCGCATACGTTTTAATTTAAAATATACAAAAGATAAATATGTAGTCTCTATTTTATTTTTATTCATTCTCTTTTTCTTTCTACCAAATTTTAACACAACGATATTGATTGTAGTATCGGAGATGGTTATAAAATTAACAATTTGTACAAATAATTTCAAAACATAACGTATTATGTTCTTAAACCAATTTACTAACATATTTCCATTCTTGCAGTTTATTATCCATGTTAATTATTCATAAATTGAATTTATCGCTAAAATAGAAATATTACACTCTTTGATATATAATAATAATATTTCAAAGTATAGGGAAATTCAAAAATTCGCGTTCTATTTTTGCATCAACAAATCATAACGCTGGATGTCAACGACTCATCTTTTTTTAAAGATAAGATAGGAATAAAATATGTAAAAAGTATAAAAATAAAAAATAAAAATAAATATAAGGCAAGAATAAGGATAGGATAGAACCATCAGCTGCGCCTAACAATTTAATTTTGTTTCTTTTTTAACGTATTGGTTCATGGTATCAAGCTTTCTATAGGATTTCTCCATATCAACAGATATATTATTTTAATTTAACTGTTTTTTCCATTGTTTATCTGAAACCATTTGGAGAGTTTGTTTACATTTATAAATTAAATTTCAAAATTTATTTAAAATAAATTAACGGTGCCGACTGCACCGAAATAAATTCGCAGAATTTCATATAAAATATCAATTTACCATTCTTCTCAATATTGATCATATTTATCCGAAGCTAAACTTTACAATAAAAATATATTCAATTAATTTATATGTCCAATAAATAAATGCAATTAAAGTGCATTAAGATTACTTTATCGTATTTTTTTAAGGTTAGGCCATTAAGAGAATGTGGAAGTCATTTACAGTTTAATGCCTACGAATCATTATACTTATTTGTATTGATAGATGTAAAGTACTTCGATTTATTATGACCGATTTATTCATAATTGTGACACACGTGACGAAATTCAGTCAATCAGGTCTTAAATAAAATTACTTCACTCAGCATCACTTTTTCATATAGGAAAATAAAAATATATAGGTTTAGATAAACTTTACGCGTTTTTACCTTCTTTTTTATTTCTTATTGTTATATCAATATTAACATATTTAAAAAATTACTTTTTTCAAAGGTACATTTTTCAATTTCTTTTAAAAACCCATATCACAGCGGAAAATGTATATTAGTGATGAAACACGTTTTCAAATTTATGATTTATTATATCAAAAACTGCAATAAATATAATCTTATACTATTTTTTTCTCAACGGGTTAATTTATTATTAAACATTTATTCTACTTTTTGAATAAAGATTGCAACATTACAACTTTTATTTTACACATTCAAAAACCAAATTTTCGATTATTAATAGAAAATATTTACAGCAATTTCAACCTATATTATTTGTATGAAATGATTTCTTCGTTATTAGTTTCATATTATGAGTGTATAAACAATATTACAGTCTACTTTTTTACTTCCTTATCTTCAAAATTATCCGTATAATAAATTATGATGATTTGAATTTTTATTAGTAAAATCTCAACTCAAAACCACACCTATATGCTTATTTTCCAGCCATCAGATCACTATATGCTTCAACGTGGCATCCATTACTTTTTTATAAGGGATAAAACTGATAAACAATGAACTACATTATGATCATAAATGATGAATGAAAAATTAGATTTTTTATATTTTATTTATTTGCTAAAAACAAATTAAATTAAATCTGAAATAAAAAATCAACTAAAATCAATTTAAATTCTCGCGGTTTTTTTCATTTGGGCCAAAATAAAATAAAATACAAATAAAATGCTTCAGTATGGCTTCCATTACTTTTTTATAAGGGGATAATAATAGCAATTATTTTAATAAATTGCTCCTAGCTTGCTCAAATTTATCACTCATTTCAGTATAAGATACAAAAAACAAATATTGGTAGACACTGCATGCGATATGACAGTGCCGCTCCTGCCACCTACCGCGTTACCGCCTTTAAAATAGTATAAATATTATAAATCTTATGAAAATAGAACTTACGTATCTTTGACGCTTAAGGTCTTATGCATCACTTAGTATATATGCAAATAGTCCTGAAGCAATTAGCAATCGTTTGGCAGCGATTAGAACAATGACGGATTTTCGTCAGTGGAAATCGGAAAATTGGAAAACTAGGCAAAACAATTAAGCTTGCAGGGTAAAGTTTTCCTGAAGTATCAACTAGTTTATTTGTAAACTGCAATTTTGGGAAAAAATTATCTCATCAAAGAAATGTGCATCGATGCTGATCTCCATGAAGGAGTCGAGACTGAGTTTGACGCGATGATCGAACAGTAGTGATACGACCTTCAAAGAGGCCGTGGTTAACGCATCGTCCCGGAAAACGATGGCAATCCGCGGGCATGTGGCGCCGGCTGTGACAGCTACAGCCCAGCGTACGTTGCGATTTTGCAAACTGATCTTGTGCGTGCGTGCCATTAAATCCCGCGTGCGTTGAAAGACCTTGAAAAAGTCGCGATAATTTGCCTTCTCGGTCTTCTGGAGCCACTATTCGCCATGTTCGGCAATGTCAGCGCGTTACCGGCGCAATGAAACGAGGACGCCTCAGAGTACATTGAGAATTGTTTAACCGCATCCGAAAATGAGACGTGGCACTTAGAGCATCTAAATTTTATTTAATTGTTTTCCGATTTTCTGCTATACCATCAAAAGTTCTAACCACTATTTTTTAGCTGAGAGTTGTATCTTAATTAGGCCGCAAAAATCTCACATCTTTGGAAGGAATATTTTTAGCCGGTTCGAAAAAGGGTAAAACCCTTGTCGTATAGTGGGTCGAAGAAGCTCGCCATGCTTCTCCAAAATTAACAAGCGCTTTTGCGAAAGCAATTTCCGATTTTTTGATAACACCAAATTTTTAACGTCTACCGAATGCAAAATATTGCGCCTACGTCCGCGACGTTTACGCTACATCTACAAAGTTATTAAACCATTTTGTCACGTGGTACAAGGCACACATTTTTCTAATTTCATAGACAATAAGACCATCACTTTTGCTTTTAATCAGAACTTCAATCAATAATCCCCGTATCAATTTCGGCACTTGGATTCGCAATGAAAGTATGACGTGGTCACATGTTTGGTCACATTCTCGAAAAAAGAAGAGGCTTGATTTTAAGTGCCATTTTCAGAACTAGAAACATTAAAAAATCGTCTGACGACTTCTTTAAAAGTTAAGATTTGCTTTGCTCTCTTATTCTTTTGTTCGTCTCGCTTAATCATTGACTCTATAGGAAATTTCAATCTTTGGATCTCCATGCTAAGAAAAGTGTCTCGTCCATCATTATACTTAAAAAATCAAAGTTTATATAAAATTTAAAAAATATAATAATATTGTTTTAACGATCCTATTTGCAATTTCGATATAAGGGTAGACAAATCAAATTAAATGATAATCTTGAAGCTTACTATTTGACTTGATAAAATCGTAACATTAAATTGAATTTGCCGTACAGTGTCGGTAAACTATTCTTCTTGAAATATTTATGGAAATCGATAGTTGTTTTGAATCAAATTGTTATAATTATAAATATTCATGTGGGTATCATTTTATTTTCAGTTTATATATAAAATGTTATGTGTTGAATTATATACAAAATCAAAAAATTTCCCGCGTTATTGATTCGACCTATAACTTTAACCTGCGCAATACGTCAATGCGCAGGGCAAAGCAACGCTAACATAATCATGGTTAGAACAGAACGCGATCTGCATGAGTAAATTTATTATACACGACTATTCTTCGTAGTTTTTAGTAGTTGCTAGTAGTTTTCTAACGGTATATCTTTAAATAAAAATTGCCAGTGAAATATGCACTAGAATTCTCATAAGTGTTTTCCAACCTCTGAATATTAGAAATGCCAAAACTTCTGAATATTTAAAGATAAATAATCAACTTCTTTGATAGTAATTATCTGCTGCATATATTTTTTTACTTTATTGTATCAACAAGATGAATATTATTAAAAGTAAGAATTGTGAGGTTTGCTATATACTTGTAAAGTATTCAATACTTCAATAAGAAAATTGTTATTTTTATGTCTAGTTAAAGAAGAAGAGGATTACGCTACTGTTGTTAAAGCTGCTGGCAAAATGTTATCTGAAAGGATCACATATGTATAGATTTTATTACATCGCATTGTGTGAAGTTTAGATTATAATAAATGTGTGCAACTTATACTGTCCTTTTTCTATTTCAGCCTTGGCAAGAAGACTTGTCATTGAGAACAAAATGGAGTTATTCTGAAAAGACTTCGAAAGAATTACTAATGAAAGAATTATGTTTTATGATAAATGAAGAACAAATGTATAAAATATGCAGGAAGAACATTTCTGAACATATTTATATTATCTCATTTTTTTGCAGAGAACTTTTGGAACCAGTAATGGAAGAAGAGCCAAATTGTAAAATATTATTTGGACAAGGAAACCTGGAAACATTATCATTAATTTTGAGATTTAAACTAACTGATATGAAAGTAACTGGAATGTTACGTAGTTATAGCTCATCTAAACCATGCAAAAGTTTTCCATATGAGTAAGAATTGACTATTTTTTAAGACTAAGAGTAATTTAGTCTTGTATTAAACCTTGGAAATTTCAGGTTGATTTTAAAAGATGTTGAATTTGAAATTACAGCTGGACTTATCATTCAAAGAGATAGTTTTTGCATAGAAAACTATTTGAATGATTATGTAAACTTTAATATAGTTCTTTTTTATAAAAGCAAAGATGAATCAAAAGACATATTTCCACTGGATAAGATTCATAATTCAGCTTTGAGTAAGATGAAACAATTTTTACTCTCTTTCAGTGCTGGATAAAATAATACTGATTATATATTTGAATAATTTTAACTATTATAAAACTGTTCAAATATATTTTTAATGTAATAAGTTTATTAAAAAAAAAGCTGCTTTCTGCAAAACATAATCTGTAAGTAACTAAAATAAAAGCTGCTAAATCTTTATTTTTACAGCAGTGTTATAATCTTATGTAAAGCACAACAATATGCCCCATCTTTTTTTAAATGTTCTATTAGAGAAGCTGTCTTGTCATTTATTCCAACACATAATCAGTCACAGTTTATGATTTACCAACGTGCCTTCATGCATATAAAATGAATAATGATACAGCTTTTTCAATGAACAGTTGATCAGAACATGTGATATAATTTTTCCATAAATATCTTCAACCTTCAAATTGTGATAGAATATAGGTTATTCTTATTTAATAATTATTCTAAATTGTTCATATATTTTTTATTCCAGCAGTGAGATCATAGAACATGAGCTATCAAAATTTCAAAAAAAAGAACATTAACCCCAAGTTTTTTTTCTATCTTAGGAAAATCAATTGAGAAATATATTGTAGAGAAGTTTACTAAAGACATTATAATTGCTGTTGGAGATAAAGTCACTGAAGATTGTATAGATACATCTGTTAGTGGTTTGCTTGACAATGAATGTAAATACCGCAATCAATTAAGGTAAATTCTAAAAAATGAAGTAACATTTATCTTCAATTTCATACTTCTAATTTTTTTAATATTAATGCTGCAGATTGCACAAGAAGAAAATTACTGTAGCCTTCCAAAAATTAGCTACTGAATTGGTAACATTAATTAATAATAATTTGAAGAACAAACACTTATCAGAAATCAAATTACCAAATATAAGTGGGAAATTGATAGAAAAAGATAATGGAAGAGGTAGTTTTACAGCTGATGATGGATTATTAAAAAGTTTGTCATCCCTTCAACAAATGGGAGATATAATCGTTCTACAAGATGATGAAGACATTGTGCTATTGGTGTTTTTATACTTTTCTGTTCTCGATGTAAGTTTTTATTACACCATTAATTAAATTTTTTAAACCAATTATGATAAATATTCCAGATCTCTTATAAACATCTCAGTATAATGAAAAAAGATTCTGAACAGGTAAGATTCTTTGAAGCACCAGAAAATTCAAATTCATCATACATGAAAATTAAGATCCACAAAACTGATAATGAAAAGATTAATTTGAGTCTACTTGATTACAAAGTGGAAGATCTAGGGTAATCAAAGAATAGTTAGTTATCTCATTTAGTTTAAATAAATTTGTGATAATAAAACAATTTCTGTTTTCAGGTATATTGAAATTAATTGGGACGAATCTGAAAATGACCTATTCAAAAAATCAGTTGAACCTGAATTGGCAATGTGGCTTAATTATACACTAGAATATACAGTAACATTACTTATTGAAGAAAAAATTAAAAGTAGTATTATTGAAGTTTTAACAGATGCAAAATTGAAACCTTTTCTATTATATTCAAAAGATACAGCTGATGATTATGACAGTGATCCTTTGGAAGATGAATGTGAAAAATTTGAAGAAGGAATAAATACTAATGATGATGCTGGAAGTGGTCATAATGCTTAAGATTAATTAATTATTAATGCTTTTTAAGAACACCCTTGTCAATAATTATCTAGACATGTATTTATACTATGTATCTCATTAAAAACCTTCATAAATTCTAAATTTTCACTAAGTTTTTTTCTAAAATGATATAGACCTAATGATTTCATTTATATAAATTATACATGATTTATACAACAATTATATAAATCTCCTACTATTTCTCATAGATTTAAATCTAAATAGTTCTAAATTACGACACATTAGAAATAGCTCTATTCAAACAGTTTTAGCAATAAAATATGAAAGATTTTATGAAATAACTTTTTATACTTTCAATCTCTCAAAAAGGTTTCGAAATCAACTATAGCATGCATCTTAGAACGATAATAATCTACGATGTAACAGAATTATTCATCAGGATATTAAAAAAATTAAATTATTTAACTAAATCGCTATTATTTACCCAGATAACACAGCGTGCTGGCATGGTTTGGCACGTGCGTTCTCGTCACGGCGTGCCGTCATAATGCAGGTACAGTGGGAGCACGAAAAGTGGCGCATGTCGTACCGTCAGAATGCGGGCATAAAGCAAATCTCGATGTGCCGCACGCCGTGCCGTTAGAATGCTGCCATTCTGTGGTCACGTAAAAAAATAAAATTCGAATAGGCATTACGACGTGGTTGATTATTTTTCCATATTTATGTATTTTTAATAAAATAAATAATTTATTTGACAATAAAAATATATTAAATATATATCTCTGTTTTTATTTCTATGTAATAATTTCTTTTATTGTATACAAAATACAAATTTGAATATCCATACATATACGTTCGATCGTCATCTATTAATAACGACTTGTTTGAAAATCGTTCTCTTAAAACGTTCAACGGTTTTTACTAGTAATTGTGATTGCTTTTAAAGTAATTATATATACTAATTGTGACTGCTATTAAACCGTTAAATTATTGTGAGAGTGTTCCTTGTGTAGTGGAGTCGCTGTGGAAATAAAAGTAAATATAAAAATTATTAACAATTTTCTTAAAAATTCTACTAGAGGATAAAATAATTATTTAAATTGTGATAACTGTGATATATGAAATATTAGTATTTGTATCGAATAATTAAATAGTACAAAATAGTTTATAAAATAAGTAAGTAAAATAAGGTAAAAAATGAAATTGTTTTTCTATAGTTTAGATTTTTCATAATTAAGTGCATATTCAGGCTAATCAAAGTTTGATATAGTTTTGCTACAATCATGGTGAAAAAGTACATATGGTTTTGTAAACTTGTGCATTGAAGACTAGTACATTCAAGACTGTCATTGTAAATAAAAGTAGAAATTTTATTTGTGATTACAAACAACGAATTACCAGATGTTAGTGTTTGTATTAAAAACAAAACACAATCCACGACAATAAAGTAATTCACAATGTTGATAAAGTTATCATAGCTTAATTATTATAGCAATCATATATTACGGTATTACTCTATAAGCAACAAGATCTCATAAGTAATATTATTGTAAGTTACTTTTTTATCATGGATTGTAGTTTGGTTTTCATAATAGTAACATAATCTGGTAATTCATCTTTATAATCACAACCAATATTACTACTGTTATTTGCAATGTCAGTATTGAATGTGTTAATATTTAAGGCACGAGTTTGTAAAACCATGTTTACTATTTATATATAGTTTTGCTGCTCATTGCAATAATAAATCACCAATGGTTAAAAGCTTCCTCAACTAATCTTCTTTCTTCAGCAGTTAATCCTGAGTAATGATAAGCAAATCCAAATGGAATAGTTTTCCTTAGAATCGGACAAATCTGTCCATTTTCAGTTATCAGAGTATTTAGAAGTATAAGTTTTTCCTCCGTTTTGTGTTTTTGCATTTCCCTTTTTGTTCTATATTGAAGAGAAAATATTTTTAAGAAAATAGAAGGTAATCTGTATAAAATAAGTAATTCACGTAAAATGAATAAAAATATACCCTTGCAGTACATCAACAAGAAACACAGCTACATTTTCACAATTCTTTTTTGTAGAACAGAATACTAAATAAGAAACCTTTGGCGCCACTTCCATAACTAGACCACCCAAAAAATCTTTGTCTCTTTCGCGAGTTTTTTCGGTGTATATTGTTCTACAATAGTTATCTTGTTTAATAATTGTTGAGATATTGCAAAATTAATAAGAATAAAATAGTATACCTGATAATTAATTCTTTTCTCTCTAGTAAACATGTTTTCTTCTCTTTTATCGATGAGCCATTTAGAATTTTCACACTGTACATACTCTTTGATCTCAATTAGTCTGAAATTTTGCTGATATAATTCTGCATTTAAAAACCTAACTATCTCTCTTAAATTGCCAATTGTTGCACTCATCCCAATTATTTGAATATTTCCTGTTTAAAAATAATATATAACTTAAGTTTTGTAAAGATAAAATTTTTAAAATTGATAAAATTGATTATTTATATTTAATTAGTTTTATTTAAATCTCAAAAAAAATTATTTGTGATTTTGAAACTCTAGGAAAAATTTGGAGAGGTTATAAAAGTGGTTGAGCCTCACGTGTAAAGGCGAGGTCGGGGTCTTTCGCAATAAAAATGAAATTAGATAGTTAGTATAAAATTTATTAGAAACCAAAATTGTATATACAATATGTTCATATATTTTATGAATATTTATTTGTTATGATAATATATATACTATCAGTTTGTTTGTTGGATTCATTTTTAGACATTGTAATTTTATAATAATTTTTTTATTAAAAAAAATCTTTTTTCATTATATTTTATTAGCACATATACTATTTTGTTTCATGTAAAGAATTTTGCTGGCTGTATTATTTTTACTTTACAGGTCCACTGGAAAAATTAAAATATTCCTGTTCAATCAACGACTATATCTACTGGTGTCAGTTCTGCTTAGTATCCGTATCTCTGACAGGTATTAATTTATAATTCATTTAATAAAAATTAATGTTCTTCACTGAAAACAATTAATAATAATTATTTTTTAGGAATCAAATTGTAACCTTATATTTACCCATGGAAGAAGCAGTGGAAATGTAAAATCTATCACGGAATTGTCGCGTCGTACATATATATGGATGCAGGTATAATATATAAATAAATTACAGATATAATTGTTTGTATTAATTACACATAGCTCATTAATTTATAAGAATAATTTAGATAAATTTTAATTAAATGTATATTTTTAATTTTAATAAAAGAATTTATGTATACATAAAAAATTGTATTCTTAATTACATAATCAAAATAATAATCGCAATATTACACCTAATCTCAAAAATCCAACGCACAAATTTTCCTAAAATGCCATCATAATGTTTGCATAATTGATGCTCGGCGTGCAGCAGGACAGGTAAGCATAATGTCGGCACTATTCGTGCATGCCGCGAAAAATTATATTATTCATCTACGCTGGCATAATGCTAGTATTATAGACGCACGCCGTGACTTCCACGGTGTGCTCGCATACTGCTGCCCCGATGCGGATGTATGTATGTACTTGGCCGTCAATGTGCCGTCATGAAAATCACGCCGTGCTTGCATTCTGACGGTAACGTGCCACCACATGTTATCTGGGTAATAGTTATGTTTTCATTCTACACATACCAAGATTGGATAAGTGTATACTATACCCCTACCGCAGAGATAGATTAACGAGTCTGTTCCTAATCTCTGCCGATCACAAACTAGGTTGGGTCAGAGGTTGGGTCTGGTATAGACCTCGATGGGTTGGAATCTGCATATGGCATTCGATATAAAACCTATTGTCGCATACTATTTATACTTTAATTGTTTTTATTGAATATTGAATATAAGGAGTATATTCTCGATTTATACGTAGATGAATCAATCAAAACAAGAATTTCCAGTTGATTACAGTCAGTTCTACAAAAAATATTTAATTCTATGATACTGTTTTTGGTTACATATTTTGATGTAAGTGTAATTCCATTTAAATATACATACGTAGTGTTATATATTAAATCTGCATAAATATTTGTTATTGTTATTTTAAGAACTATTTTCATTAACATTATATTTAGTCATCACTATATATATGTATATATACATATATGATTAAAAAGACTGTTATTTACATTATTTTTTAGGGTGGACATTAGCAAATGATTCTCCATGAAGATTTAATACATCAATACAAAAATTAAATTATTCTTTCAAAACATACTTATTTTTCTTATTAATTTCATTAAAATGTTGCAAATAGAAAACATTGAAACTAGCAATGGCCTGATTTTGGAAACAAGTTATATCCCTGAAGAGCTTTTAATTGAAATTCTTTTATACGTTGACTGTAGACAATTAGTTTTATGTCATTTAGTTTGCAAACAATGGAATAAAATAATAAAAGAAAGTGTTTGGCGCAAAAAAGCAGAAATAAATTATGGTAGATTACTTTTTATTAATCAAAAATTACCTTGGAGTGCATATTTCTTTATTAGCAATAAGAAACTGTTTCAAAGAAATCTATTAGAATCCACTAATAATAAAGTTTCTTATGCTAAAGATGAATTTGAATCTATACATATAAATGTTAAAGATAATAGCCATCCAATAAATGTTTTACCTTTTCCTGAGGATCCACTATTCAAAAAGAACATAAATTGTATAAAAGTTGTCCATGATGATATTATAAGTGCAAGAAGAAAATTTTCTATCGATTTAATTCAAGAAGGTTTTACTAATTACATATTAGACATTTTAGAACCTATTATTGAGGTATAATAGAAATATTAAATTTAATTATAATATCCTTAACAAAAGCTTTTCTCAAAATTTAGAATATTATTTTTGTAGGTATCTGAATGGTATTATACTACACAGGAACATGAAGAGGCTGAGTTTGAATGTTCAATCAAACTGCTTAATAGTAGTAATGTATATGATGGTAATAATAGAGTTATGAGAGTATATCATTTTCACAAAAGAATGAATAAGGCTGACTTGCGAGGAAAATGGTTTAAAGTAGGTTTCTAGTATTCAATATTTTTAAATGATTATATTATATGTGTTGTAAATTGTCAAGTTTTATTAATGTTAGTTCACCCATGTTTTCAAAAATTATGGACCTGGAATAAGACGGATAAAATTTTATGATGGAGGACATCACAACATTATTATGACTGGAGCTTCTGTGATGATGACTGTACCTTCAAAGAAAAATGTTTCAGGTTAAAATAAAATATATTACATGGCCTTCTTTATATGGATAAAGAAAATTACAAATTGATTATGAAAAATTTTATTTATTCTATAACAAACTAGAATTTACGCAGCGCGCGTTACGCGCACTAACACCTATATATTCTTGTTTTCCATAATCAAATTAATAAAATTAAACACGATTAATAAATATTGCTTAATTGTTTAATTGATGTTATGAAATATTTTGACAGTAAAAGAAATTTTACGTTCGTCAAATAATTAGTAAGATTAATTTAAAAAATTTTGAATTTATTTTCTTTTTGACGATAAATAGGATTATTAGGTCTTTCTCTACTATGATATGCTCTGGAACCAAGCGCTTGGTACACATTTTCTCAAGAGAATAATACTTTTATGATATGGTCTTGCACTGGATCTAGAAATGCTTATGATCAAGTCTGTAAACGTACTTGATATACTTGGTCGAAATTCCATTGCAGCTATATCAAAAGATATTTGTAGATTACATCACTTTGAAATGTATAAATGTTTGGCTGTTCGACGAAAGCTATCAGGCGTGATTCACTTCGATAGATGACACATTCCAGACTATGACGATCAGCTTTTCAGGGGTGGGTTTCAGATTTTCTTGAAACTTGGTCTATATGGTAGTGTATTTAAGTATGGATTATTAGATTATTATAATAATTATATCAAAAGTTATAAATAATTTCACGAACAATTTTCAAAAATGTATATCTCTACAACCATTGAAGTTATCGAAACGAATTTTTTTATATTACGCATAAAAGGGTGTACTTTAAAGGTATTAAGCGAACAATACTTTAATATCAATTTTTCCAGAAGTTATTAACATTTTTTTAAAACAATTGACCATATCTTAAAAAGTGTTATTGTTATTTTAACAATTCTTTTTTTATTAAATTCCTTAACATTTTATCTTTAAGAATCCGTTTTCAAAAATCATCGAGCGATCATTAGATGTGACAGTGAGCGATAATAGTGGACGCTGACAGGCCCTACGACGCTGATAAGTCGGTAAGTTTGGTGATTTTCAATTGAATCTTCATTTTTTCCTTCGATATTCAACATCTACTTATACACATGTACTTACTTTTTAACTAGTTATATTATTATATTATTTATATTCATTAAAATCCAGATCTGCAAACTGTCACTTGAAATTTTGGAATGGGTGGACAGAATAGGGGTCGGCGATTCTACTCGATTCCAGACGAAGTATTCGATTTTTTTTTGAGAATAGATTATTTTGTTGATTCTTTTCAGAATCGATTCTGAAACGCTCGATTCTATTTCGACTCAGAATCGAACAGTCGAAAGTTGAATGTGGGAATGCTCTATACTCAGGAGGCTCGTTCGCGCGTTTTCGTTACTCGAGCGCATGTTTATAAAAGTCGCAAACTTTTTGTTTTGTTCTGCGCTGCAATGGATGATTTAAACAACTCAGGTAAGAATTATTTACTTTTACATAGCCATCCAATTTATCTTTCATTTTGGTTGATGATTTGGTAGCGCAAATAATAAAAACTATATTTTTGTATTTCATTTTTTTTCAGTTTCAAGGCGACATTATTTGTCAAAATGTTGACTTTGCATGGAAAGATTCAAAAGAAGAATATGTCTATAATCATCATGATCAAGTTTTCCTATTCCTATATATACCTATTACATAAATATACCATAAAAATATAAATTCTATTATGCAATGATAGTTATGATTTATACAAAAAATAAATTTAAAATTAACACAATATTCCCTTATTTTAATTTTTTATATTTGAAATTTTGCGCAATTTATATGGTTATTCTTTTTGTCTTAACCCATTAACGACCAAGACGGTCGATTTTAGACTAACTTTTCGTAGCTGAATTTCAGGTACTCAACGAAGTAATAACTGGGTCCGACATATCAATCTTTATGTATTTTTGTCTGCTGAATCAGAATCTGGGCTCGAAATTCCAGAATTTCTATTGCAAAAAAAGATATGGGGATTTTTTTGCAAAAAAATCTGAAAAAAAATCGCATTTTCAAACTTTATGATTTTTTTTTCAGGCAGAAATCGCATGAATTCATGGTGAAATCATCAACCATCGGTGCACAAATTTGTTGACGTTTAACGATAAATTTTTACATATATGTATTTTTCGCCAAAATGGCGGCCAAAATGCAAAAAATTGCATAAAATCGCATTTTTTGTTCATTATTTTTTTTCTCGAAAACTAAAATATTAAACAAAAATTGTCTAAGAATAAAAATGTCTTAGAATTGATCAAGAAATACTCTCAAATTTTTTCAGATTTTTTTGAGACAATTTTTTATTTTTTGTAAAATGCTAAAACCAAATTTTTAAAAAATGTCTGCAAAAAATCTGAAAAAATTTGAGAGTATTCTTTGATCAATTCTAAGACATTTTTATTCTTAGACAAAATTTTTTTATCCTTTAGTTTTCGAGAAAAAAAATAATGAACAAAAAATGCGATTTTTTGCAATTCTTGCATTTTGACCGCCATTTTGTCGATAAATTCAGATATGTAACAAATATCTATCTTGACTCTACAGTGATTTTTTACTCTTTGCATAACCCAGAGACAACGGCGTGGATGTGGTAAAAAATGTCTTCTTCGGGGTGTTTTTTTACCGTGAGTCCCCTTGCCTCTCACTAGTCGGGGTGCTTTTTTACCGTGAGTCCCCTTGCCTCTCACTAGTCGGGGTGCTTTTTTATCGGGAGTCCCCTTGCCTCTCACAAGCACCTATATTTTAGTGCCTTTTTTTCATACACGAACTGCAAAAATATAATTGGCAATCACTACATAAAAGGTATGTTCTTACAGGACAATTAGAACAACTTTTTTGCTTGCTTTCTCTGATCGTTTGATGTTTACTTTGCTTTATTTTACCATCATGAATATAACTTTTAGCTATCGATATAGCGAAGTCTTTTGTTCCAACTTTTTTTTCATTATTCTTAGCAGCATTGAATATAACAACAGAATTTGTAATGGCAGCCTGGATGAGCCTGATGAAGACTACCCAAGTCCATTTCTTTGACCGAATACTAGGCAATAAATTATTACAGTGTCCATCATGAACATCGACCCCACCCATGTACTGATTGTAAAGGTGAAACGCTTGTGGGATTGGTATCTCAATTTTTGCCTTTTCGTTCGAACTATATCTCCTTAGTGGTTCTAATGGAGTGACCCCTGCTGATGTTGATAATATTGACACTAATTTTGAATCCATTAGAGTAATATAGTTGATCCCACTGTTTTTTTCATGTTTTACTGTATATGTACCATGGAGATATACATATACATGGAGATGTATATGTACGTGGAGATTTTTTATTGACGACATTTTTTTCATTGAACCGATTTTCTCTAACAGTTCCAGTGCATCTCAATTGTAATTTTTTCAAATGTATAACAATATCTAAATTTGTAAAAAAGTTGTCAAAATATACGTGGTACAGGGAAATTTTTCCAGGAGCTGTCATTTCGAAAAAAGGTTTCAATAAATTCATAATTACACGAGAACCCAATGCACATTTCGCTAATTTTTCTCCTACTACAGAATTTTTTCCGAAGTATAAATCGAAATTTAATAAATATCCATCAGCAGTGCAAAGACCCCAAAATTTAAGTCCAAATCGCGTAGGTTTTCCGCGTATGAATTGCTTCAATGACGTTTTAGCATATGATTTGGCCATCATTTCATCTATTGACAGAGCAGTTCTCCAGAAACCAAACTTCAGAGTATTTCTTTGAAAAATTTTCATCAATTCATGAACACGCCACGCCTTATCGTTTGGATTGTTATCTTTAGCCTTCGAGTACTTCAAGTTTGATTTTATATTTTCAAACTTAGATCGTGACATTGCGGAAGAAATTATTTGACAAGACAAGAAAGGGTCTGTCTACCAATAATCTCGCTGACTTTTTCTTTTATTGAAAGAAGTGATTATAATAATTCCAATGAATGTATTCAACTTAGCCAACGATAAATTTAAACCATTTTCTTTGCATGCATCGATAATATACTCCTTCATTTCAATTGAAAAAAAAAATATCAAAGAGTTCCCTTGGCTCACTCTTTCGTATATTATTTTTTGCACTTTCTGTCAATAAAATTTTATTAGTACATTTATCGGAATATGTCCTTTCACCGTCAACCCAACCAAATACATGTTCATTTTCTAGCTTCGCTTGATCTTCTTGATAATTTTTTGAAACTTTCTGGTAAAAAATTCTCGGTAATTTTGCGTCAGAATAATTTTCAGAATCAGAATCAGAGTCACCTGATGAACCGGAATCATCTGCATTTGGTATCAAAACCGTTTCATCATCCTCTGAGGTTTCAACCTCAAAATCAGAAGAAACAGATCGTCTCGTACGCTTTTTTGACATTATTATGAATGTTATTGTGACGAACTATTCAATTGAAGTATTTTACTTGTACTATGGATAATAACTTTTTTTGCCCAATATGACAAATCGTATCTGAGGACTACAATGAATACATAACAAATATTGAAATTTCGAATGTACATTGACGAAAAAACATTTCAAGATGGTTGACTAATTTTACTAACACACAAAAGCAGACCAATTTGAAACGTTATTATCTAATGCCAGCAACAAGTGTCCACCATTGGCAAAAGCATGTAATCAAGTTCAACAATGTTTTTCTCAAAAACTAAAGGCTTACATGAAAATTGCCTAAGATTAAAAATATCTTAGAATTGATCAAAGAATACTATCAAATTTTTTCAGATTTTTTGCAGACATTTTTTAAAAATTTGGTTTTAGCATTTTTCAAAAAATAAAAAATTGTCTCAAAAAAATCTGAAAAAATTTGAGAGTATTCCATGATCAATTCTAAGACATTTTTATTCTTAGACAATTTTTGTTTAATCCTTTAGTTTTCGAGAAAAAAATAATGAACAAAAAATGCGATTTTATGCAATTTTTTGCATTTTGGCCGCCATTTTGGCAAAAAATACATATATATAAAAATTTATCGTTAAACTTCAACAAATTTGTGCACCGATGGTTGATGATTTCACCATGAATTTATGCGATTTCTGCCTGAAAAAAATCATAAAGTTTGAAAATGCGATTTTGTTTCAGATTTCTTTGCAAAAAATCCCCATAACTTTTTTTGCAATAGAAATTTTCGAATTTCGAGCCCAGATTCTGATTCAGCAGACAAAAATACATAAAGATTGATATGTCGGACCCAGTTGTTACTTCGTTGAGTACCTGAAATTCAGCTACGAAAAGTTAGTTTAAAATCAACCGTCTTGGTCGTTAATGGGTTAAGAGCGGGAGATTCAAATTTTAAATTGAAAATAACTTCGATTATTACTCGATTCTTTTCGCTCGGAATCGATTCTATAGTATCGATTATTCTTCGGAATCGATTCTGAGTATTCGATCCTTTTCCAGTGAATCGCCGACCCCTAGGACAGAATCAATCTGGTGACTGTATGGTTGTCATAGCAACGTTGACCAATGTAGCCAACTTTACGGCCAAAATTCTTAAGAGTCCCTTATTCCCTCCATTCGGAACAAACCCTAAATTCAAATTGAAACATATACACTCTGTAACCCAATTGGATAGCGTTTATCTTTGTTTCACGTGGTCATGACCTTCATCAAGGTATAAAAGACAACTGTCTTTTATTTATATAAATATGATATGACTGATTGTTTAATTAGTATTGAAAAATTTATTTTCATAAAAATTTTAATTTCTTTTTCAAAAATTACATTTTAGTTGTTTTGTTGGTACACTCGCCACGATCATATTTTGGCTCATGCGCGTCGTTCGCGCATGCGTATGTCGTTACGAGGAGTCTCGAGAAAAAAGGTTTGGTCGCAGTGCGAGGTAGCCAGGCTCACACTTGGTCGGTCGGTAAAAAGGAAGCGTTTCGTCCCGATGCTACCGGCTGGACTCGTCAGTGAGGCTCGACGGCCGGTAACATCTGCCTCATACGCTCGAAGTGCGCGTGTCGCTATGCGGACTTATATATTCAGTGAGCGCATTTCTTGCCGCTCGTGGCTGGCCGATGCCATCTAGATGTGGATGGTCGAATCGTGGAACCGCCACAATATATTCTATTCATATAGTTTTAAGACTTGTGAATCTGACGCCCAAAAAAAATTTTTTAATCATATTTTTGAGTTTTCATTAGCTAAAACGTTCTCTTCCTTTTTCCGAATTATGTTCCCGGGAGTCGCGTTTAAGACACCGAAGCGAGCAGACGTGTTTACTCGCGCTGTAATCAGCCTACCGACGCGTTTGTACCTTCCTACTAAACCTTATATTATTTGTGTAATCAGCTATACTGTGAGTGTTAGTGCATAAGTTCTACAGCGAATCCTTCTTATTAGAAGGATTAGCTAGTGTCTCAGCTCTCAAACTGCGGATGCAGTTTGAAATGCTGCAACAACATCAAGCCACAATGGAGTCTGACAAAGACGTCCACAAAGATAATCACAGCAACAACCCTTCCACAGCACCAAAATCTAACAGCTACGCCTCAATTACAGCTCAAGCTCTTCTCCCAAAAAAGGAACATGCCATTGTTTTAGACTCAATCGTAGGAGCGACAATAGACGACTACATTGACGGCCTTGAAATTCTTACGGATTCCAACAACATAAAGTTTATATCCAAGATCTCAGGCAACAGAGTATGTGTCTACCTCAGCGACACAAGCTTAGTATCGAATCTCT